CTCGACGCGACTTCTGGCGTGGAGGACAGGAAGGCGGGTGGGGAGGCGGTTATTGCTTTGAGGGAGAGTCCCCCTCCCTTCAGGAAGGCAAGGACACGTGTCACGGGAGGGAAAATGGCCGCGGATCCTGTTCATCACCTGATCCGGCGTTCGCGAACGGAAGCAAATTTTTGCGAACGGAGCTGTTCGTGGCCCGAATTGGGCGTGGACAGAAGGATTCGTGACCCGAGGTACCACTGTACATTTGTTACATTGCCCGTTTTATGCTGGCACGCATTCATAGTTGATAACCCCCCATTTAAATAAATCTCCTGATTATTGTTACTGGTTCTATTTATGATTTTTACTTTCAAACACACATGATTCTGTTACTCTAAGTATAGCTAAAATTTATTATATGCAAAATGCACAGTCCAGTTAATGTTATTATTTTTACCTTCCCATATGCATGTAACCTGTTTACATTGCAGTACGTTTTATTATGTACTGCTCACTGAAAACAGTAAAAAAATTATCTTCTTCCCTACTACTTGGGAAATTAAATTACTTAAATGTGTTATAATGTATGCTTATGAAATAATATAGAAGAAGAAAACTGAGCTTTCGGACATGCTTTTGTTTTTCTTTGGCTTCAAATGCTGGATAAAGGAGCTCCGCTCATAATGTTCTATGTGAGATTTCTAAAATTGTTGTGCTACAGTAGGGCAAAACTCAGAACTCACTGAGTGCCCCATATTCTGTATGAAACAACCTCAAAATATTTTGAATGTTCTGCTACTGGAAACTATTGAAACTCAGAAAATCTCTATCGTTCCATTCCAAGGCCACAAAAGTAGGTGGGATGTCAGTTTATGCTTATTGCTACCTACTATCTCAGTTACAGAAAAAAATGTTGCATTCATTATTTTAAAATATGTGAAATAAATAGGAGCTTAATTAGGAGCTGTGAGCCCCTTTCAATACCAAGTCTGCAGCTCCCAAACTATATACACTAAGGGTGCCAGGAACTGAGGAAGTTTGAAAACTTCTGATCTAGTTGATAATCTTCTGGAAGGGCTAGTATTTCATGTTTTAAAGCTGCCGTAAAGGGAACTGGTTGATCCTGCTCCACTATACTATAAGTCCAACTTAAAGTGGACTAACAAAACTGAAATTCAAAGAACATTACTTTAGGTTGAAGGATATTAGTAGCCTTTAGTAATTCTGTTATGGATGTATCAGCAGAATATCCACAGTCTTCCAGCTAGGTACCTTTAAGGGTAGACATAACAGCTGCAAAGCCCCCCCCTCCCCCAGGTAGGCTTTTTAGAGTATATTGTACAATTTTTGTATTCTGCCTCAATTTATACTCTTTCCACAGTATATTTATATAGTTGATTGTATAGTCTCTATGTTCTCCAACAGTTATATTATTTCGTGTCCCTTCCATCAATTCTTTTTTTTTTTTTTCAGTCATCACTGAAGAGGTTATAAGGTCTAGGAATGTATGATTATTGTTTAATAAATTGTGAACATCAGTTTTATTCTCTAAATGGGGACATATTGTTAATTTTATTATCGTTGCGTTTCTTTTCTAGTTGTTTAAACGTAGAAATGTTGCCACAGCTGATGAAGAGACAGAGGAGGAAGTTATGTCAGATGGTGGTTTCCATGAAACTCAAATGAATAACATGGAAATGACATCTGTAAGTAATGTATCAACTTGGCAATTTCATTCAGTTTGCGCATGCATGTGCACAACACACACACACACACATATATAAATAAAAGGTGGGATAATAATAATAATGCCTATCCCAGGTCCTTGGGAAGGACTTAATAGGTGGATAAAAATGCCAAATCCAGTCTAAATATCTGGCTGGCTATACAACCAATCATCTGCTAATACATGAACATCCTCAAATTAAGTGTATTTGGTAAGCATGCTGCATTCTTGCCTTGGGGGAAAAAAACAGATAAGTAACAGTTGTGCTATGCGCTATAGATATATGTGCTTTTGTATTTTTAAGCCCCATTTTCAGTAGTTTCAAGCAGCTTGCAGATAAACAATTTAAAAAAGACCAGTTGAAAAAGTAAATTCTTATAGCTTTTTAAAAAGTCTAAATCTGGTTTGTTAAGTTTAAGATCATTACCTTGCAATTAAATGAACAAATATTTGGGCTATTTGGTTTTGATAGGTTTACAGGATATAATTGAAAAGAGGGATCATATTAAATATAATCTGCATTGCTATCTACCTTGTATGGCATATTTCACTTCCAGCACTTTCTTTTCCTGTTTTTTAATATTTTTAAAATGTAGAGAACAACTTGGAGGCAGAGAGTAGTTGCATGTACTTTTGAAAATGTATAAGGTGTTTATGTTGCATGGTCACATAGTCATTCTGTTCTATACAGGAGAAACAATCTCTCTGGAGAGCTCCAAGCTGCAGTCTCTGTGCAGGATATTCACAGTGCTAGGGGAAAAAATGTAGCCTGACAACCAGCATTTTCAAAGTGATACTTGATTTTTTAAAGGGAGAATTGAACTACTACTGAACTTCATTTTTGCTAGCTTTTATCCCATATCTGCTTTCAAACTCATATTGCTTCTAACAAAATCTATGGCAGAATTCTTTTACATCCCCAATCCAGAGGTATTAAATCATTCAAACTGAATAATTTAATCAAACTGAAAATGAAATAAATTGATTTTCCATTTAATTAATTCTTTGGGACTTAAGCATTCCTAAAAGATGCCTTGGACAAGAAGATATTTGCAGTGAAATTGCAAGTATAGGGGAAATTATAGGGAATATAAAGTTAGGATATAGGATAGATTTAATATTTGAATTTATTAAGATGTCTATTAAACTGCCATCTGACAAGATCCAGGAAATGTGCCTTCTCTGTCACAGCACCTGCCCTCTGTAACACCATGGGTTTAGCATTTCATTTAGTCCTTGAAAATCTGGGTGTTCCCTCAGGTATTGGGTCTGGAGTTTAGGTGAACCCATTGATATAATTTTGTGCTATTTATTGTTTGAGTTGGGTTTGTCCTTGGCCGCCATTATTTCCCTGTTAAGTGTTTTTGGTTTCGTTTGGTTTAATCCTATGTGTACCACAGAGAGTCACAATTATGAGATGGGCTATATAAATAATAAGTAAATATAAAATAGCCAAAGACTTAATGAACTAAGTTAGGAGAAACAATATGCTGTTTTGGGAGTAAATGCCCAGATGAATACTCTGAAATTATCAATACCAGCACTAGTTGCCATTATAGTTTCTTTCTGAAGGATTCTTTAGATGGTTAGTTACTTAGTAAGAAGTCTATGCTGAATCTCCATCACCATATTATGAGAACAGATGATGCCCTCTTAATGCTCAGTGGCTGGAAAAGGCAAACCTTGACACTATCCTGGTCCTTACTTTTCCAGGCAAACATTCTTTCAGATCTTATTTTTATCAGTAGAAACTTCCTCATAAAGCCAGCATTTCTTAACTTGCCTGTAATGCACAGATTCCTTTTGTAGAGCCTACATGTCATTCTCAAAGCTGATAGCCAAATCAGTTGAAACTGAGATCTGTTTTCTCTCAGGCTTTTGTCTCTGAAGGTCCTCAGCACAAAGCTGACAACCCTCCCAGTCTCCAAAAATCTGTGTCTTTCACAGGGACTTAGTCAATTTGAGACCAGATTTTCTTTCATTCTTAAAGTCAGTACTGCTTTTCACAGGTCTCAAGAGCTCATTCTCTCTACCCTTTGTCCCAGTCTCTCCCATCACTCAGATGGACTATACTGTAAATTGGATTTCTGCAGAGCATTAAACACCTGTATTAAAAAATGCTTCTTTCTTTTGGCTAGCTCCATTTTTTCACCTGGCCTTACATAGCCACTGATAGTCAGAAACTTCCTGAGCCCTCCCACTACAGTTCCCATTCTTTAGGATCACAGCTGTTTCGTTAGCATTCTCTGTTAATGCTCCTGCACTGGAGACAGTCAGTGCTGCCATTTGATATAGCCCTTTCATATTCAGTAACTTACAAATTAAATTGTCATGGCTTTGCAGAAGAAGCTTTTGAATGTTAAAGTTTGCCACAGGTCCTTCTTGTTTCATAGGTTAGTAGGGTGTTTCCGTCCTATAAGAAATAGTGTGAGCGTGTTCCATATTTGGATGACTTCAAACGCCAAAGGGGAAAGAGAACATTGGTCACCTGTACAAAGATTCTTTCTAGTTTGGCGTGAATGAAATATCAGAACATATTTCAGTTGAACTGACTTCCCTTGGTGTTTTAAGCAAGCTCATCTAAGGAACAGAAAGATTTTTTTTCCCCTCTTGCATAAACTACCTTAATAGAGGTTCTTCTACAGTCTTTTAGCTTGGTTATGATTAAGAACTGAAGTGAGGAGCCTGGCAGAGCTAGTATAACAGCACACTTTGGTTGTGTGGTTTTCTTGGCTTCCTAGGATGTCGTCTTTGCATCAAACCATAGAGAACTTTCACAGTAAGTGACCTCTTTTGTACAAGAGGCGGTTCCTTTTAGATAGTTCCTATCTGTCGTAACTATCTAAAAACAGTTTTTTCCTTAAACTGCTTAAAACCTTTAAAATGAATAGATGAATTCCTTGTTATTGGCTGCAGGTTCTAATGGAGACACTTCTATATGTGTGAAATAATATTTTAAATATTCTGTACAATTCTTCATTTTTCAGTGAACTTGCCTTCAGCATCCTTTTCTCCTTTTTTTATAACTTTCTGGGATGTTGTCAGTACAAAATTAATAAAGCAATAATGATAATGTATGCCATTACTATATGCTTCTTCCAAGTATTTAGCCCTGTTTCATATTAATTTTGTTTCTGTTACAAGTGGTTATATTTCTTGAATTGAAATCTGGATATGGAAGGGAAAAAAGTATTCCGTCTTTGCAGTTATCCAAATCATAGCTCCCAGAGTTGCTTTTGAAAAGGGACTGTATATTTTGGAATTTTTATTTAATAACTAAATATGTTTTAAGATTGTAACTGTCAGAACCTCACAGGGCAGCACTACTATTTATTTTAATTTCTCCATTTGGATTTGGAACTGTTTTTGTTGAGTTCAGGGGTATTTTTGAAACTAGTAATTTTACTAAAAATTCATAAACTAAAATAATGCCTCCTAGTGTCCAATTTAATTTAATTACTTAAATGTTCTTAAATTTAAGAATTTTAATTTAATTTTGAAGCAATGCTTTTAGGTAATTTTTTTCCATTTGGAATTGTAGAATGCAGTGATTACTTCTGACATGACCGAGATGATCTTTTCCAATAGTCCCGAACAGCAGCTCTCAGCTACCCAAAAGTTCCGAAAACTTCTCTCAAAAGGTGAGTGCAAGAATACTAGAGAAAGTTGCTGCTCCTAGGCATGTCTTCTGGGTTTCCACCCAAGTTGTCCTTCTATTACTAACAGCTACTACACATTAATAGGATGCCAGGTATGGAGCCCAGGAATACCAATGCCCAGAGAAACCTCCCTGGATATTCATCAGACTCATTCCCATACAACTTCTTATATTTAAAAAAATGATTAAAAACGTAGGGTAGCTGGCATGGAGCAAATGCCTCCAACAATATAATTATTTTGGGGAATGCCTACAATCCCTAAGTTGTCCTAGAAAAATGAATAGTGAATGGCTGCTTCCCTGTACTGTTTTTGGAAATGTCCAGAAAACAGGCAAAGGTAAATAGAGGTTGTAGGTCATGTCCTGGTGGAGGGCGAGGGTTGGTAGATAGCATTCTGGTAAATCGATGCTGTGTAACTGGTAGAGCTATACAGTGATGTGGATTCAGAGGGCAAATTTTCTGGAGCATACACAGATATGCACAGTGTACCTGACTGAAATAACTTAAAGCAGATGCATCTTTTCCTGGTCTTTTGAGGCTGGTGCAGCTGATTGCAGTTGCCTTAGAGTCCTAGGAAAAAATACATTTGGTTAGAAGTTCCTAACAGGTGTTCTGCGTACATCCCAAAATATTTCGCCCTTCAGATCCAGATCACTGCATAGCTCTAGCAGCTCCTTATTCCACCCCGGGTTGACAGTGTGGGTATATATCCCCCGGTAATCATTTTGCAGCAGAACCCCAAAGAAGTTGTAGGCCTGTTATCGTGGTAGCAAGTTAAAAAGGGGAAAGAAATTTAGATCACAATTTGAAATAGTTCATCTTTTATATAACTTTTATGGATAAACATTTATACGTAGGCAGAAGCAGGTGGATGATAACCCTAAATAATATATTTTAATTTCCTGCTCCATTCATCATTCATTCATATACATGTATACTCCTCATACTTACGGCACTATACTTTTGGGTAGTCAGGTCATAGAAAGTGTGAAGTGGGAAAGAAGAGAATGAACTTGGACACAAGCTGTCCATAGAAGTGGGAGATGCAGATTTCTCTGCAGATGGAGTCTTCTCTGCTCTGCTCTTTTTCTACAAGGTTAGACTTTATATAGACCTCTAGCTTATCCAGTTTTGTAAAACAATGTATATCCAGGGATCCAGTGTTCCACAGTGGAGGAAGTTTTCCTTATCTGGGTTGCTCCTCTCACTTGCCCTAAGAGGAGGATCAAAACATACAGTGTCTCTGATGTGAGGAGGAAGCAGTCTTCCCCCTACTCCTCATCAGCAGCCTCCCTTCCATACTACCCCAGGAGCAATTCTTGGCTCAAGAGCAGAGTCAATAGATTCCACTTGTGCCACCTCTGCAGGTGAACTGAACTCCCTCAATCCCCATGAGGAGCTGAGAGACCATGGGGTAGAAAGGGACTAAGCCTAGAGACAACGAGCAGCCAATCCCCCACCTCCCACGACCAAGCGATCGGCGTTTCATCTGGACTTCTGCCATTGGATGCACCAGGTAACCTTGGCAGAGCTCTCCCCACCCAGCTCTCATGGCCCATCTCCCCTAAGGGTAAAGGAAACCACCCTTCTCCCTCATGGGGGACCTCCTCTCTATGTCACATGAGGCAGCCAATATCCTGAGGGAGAGAAAAGTTGCCGCCTTGATGGGCATAGATTGTATCTATTCCTTTCAAGTAAATATTCACCCAGTGGGGGAAGGGAAAGCACCTGTTCCTATTTATCTTTCATTTTACATCCTTCTATATTCTGAAGGAGTTTGTCCCAAAAACTGGAGGGGAGGGACTGCTTCCTTCCACGGTAGGAACATACAAAAGCTTTAGTCCTGTCTATCAGACTGAATGGGAGGAGCAACCCAGAGGAGGATTCCCCTCTACCCACTGAAAGAAAAGGACATTCATGATGATTGCAAGGTTCTGTTTGCTTCAAGTAGATTTCACACAGCATCTTTGCTGTTTTGGTTCTTGTTTCGTAGTTCACTTAACACTCAGAATGTCTTTTGTAGTTTTCCTACATCCTTTCTCATCATACACCCTTCTTCTCTAAAATATTTATGTAAACATTTCCTAAATTCTGTAACACAAGATCCAAATGCTAGTCCTGGTCTTTATTAATGCTTATAGGCGGTGTTTAATACCTGATCACTAGCATACTGAATACAATCAGTTGCTGCTGCTTAGTTCATCATAATTTTTTTTTAATATGTCCACAACCTGTCAAAGCCCCATCTCCCCAAAAGCAGCATCAGTGCCTACTTGGGATTGTTGTCAAGGCTGCTTTTGCTGTTTTTACTGAACTATCTGGCCAGGATGGAATTGAAAAATTCAAGGGGCTGTTCAGTCAGATTGGCCTAGAACAGGGGTGCACCACTCTTTTTTTCTGGTCCAAGGGCTGCAGTTTTTCTTTAAATAATATGCCAGAGGCATATATTCATGTACATTTAACTATAGTTAGTTAAATTAGAAATGGAAGGGGCCACTGAATCTTAAGCCCATGCTCTGTGCAAGTTCTAAATTAAAACATCCCCAACAGATGGCTGGTTAGTCTCCACTTGAACTTATTCAGCAATGGAGATTCCCTCCTTTCTTGGTAATTGATTTACCTGTTGAATTGCTGTTACTGTTAGGACATTTTTATAACTTAATTGGAATTTGCCTTTCTGCAACTTAAATCCATGGTTCTATTTATATTCTGGAATAACAGAGAACACCTTCTGAATTTGAACAAGGCTTTCCTATTCTCTTCTAAATATTCTCTCCTCAAAACTTGATTTTGCACAGTTCCTTCAATCTTTCTTCATAGAACTTAGCTTTTGGTCCTTTGATTATTCTCATCACTCTTCCCTGAACATGTTCCAGTTCCTCTGAATCCTTCTTAAAATGTAGGGCCCAGAATGAAACACAGCATTTGAAGTGGATAGACCAATGCAGAATGATTTAGAAACTGTAATTCTGTTGATTCAGTCTAAAGTTGTATTTGCCTTTTTTGCAGCCACATCATTATGTTGACTCAGGTTTGGTTTGCAATCAACTCAACAAAGATCTTATTATCAAATTTGGTATAATCCATCCTGTATTTGTGAATTTGACTTACGTTTCTTAAATGAAGAACATAGCATTTTCGTCCATTACATTTAATTCTGTTATTTTCAGCCCATTTCTCTAACCTAACGAGATTTTTTTAAAAAATGTATTTCTCTCTTCTAGTTAGGATGTTAATGGTCCAATCCAATTTTGGGCCATTTGAAGATTGAATAAGCATTACCATCCTAAATCAAGTAATTGATAAAAATAGTGAAAAGTACTACGCCCAAGACTGATTCTCTGTTCAATGCATCCATCCAGTTGATGAGAAGCTGTTACAGGGTAGTCTTTTCAAGCCATATATGTGTATTTTATTAACTCTCATGATGTTAAGCCCACACTGAACTGCTCTGCTGCTCAGAACATCATGGGGTTATCAGGTTTTTTTGGTTGATTGAGTGGCTGGTTGGTTTTTGCCTTCAAGTCAGTCTCAATTCTAGTGAATACATAATAAGTCAGTGCAGTTTTCTAGGCAACATTTTTTTAAATTGGGTTGCCATTTCCTTCTTCCTAGAGTTAAGAGAGATTGACTGGCCCAGAGTCACCTAGGTGCCTTGTATGCCTAAGGCAGAATTAGAATTCATGGTCTCCCAGCTTCCAGTCCAGCAACTTTAAGTACTAAACCAAACTGGCTGTCTACTTTGTGGAACACTTTGCTGAAAAAAGAATATAATACATCTACAGCATTCCAGCAATCTACTAAAACAGTTACCCAATTAAACAATGACTTATAATAATTACCACATTTTTTCCCCAAATACTTATAAATGGTCTCCTTGTGACATGCTTTGTAGTCTTCCCAGATATCAGTGTCAAACTGACTGGTCTGTATTCCCTTCTACATTCTCCCCTTCAAGAACTCTCTAAGATTTCTTAAAGATAAAAAGATTTGGCTAGATCATCAGCAAAGTTCCTTTCCTACTACAGTATGTAATTCATCTCATCCTAGGTATTCCTAATCATGATTCAATCCTGCCTATTCAAACACATATTTGGTGCTGGAGAAGACCAAGTAAAATAGAAATTGGGTAGCCCTGTCTTTTCTGCATTACCTTTCAAATTTTGCCAGTTAGTATTTTTTTTCTCTTTCTTTTGTATTGTATATATCTCAGTAAGATCTTTTTGTTATTCTTAGCATCTTTCACAAACTCTGAACTTTAGCTTTCCTGAAACCATCTCTCTATTCCTGGCACAACTTTATGTAGTCCCTTTGATGACCTTCCTTCTTTCCAACTTCCATACATGTTATTTTTTGTTTTCAGATTTTCACTACACTTTTTGATTGCCACATGAGCTGCTTTTTCTGTCCTACATTTATTATTCATTGGAATTGTTTGTGATTGTGCTTTTAGTATCTCCTTTTAAAGAAACTCCCGTGTATCTTAAGCTCCTTCTCCCATAAGCTTCTTCTACCACAGAATCCTCTTAATTTTATTAAAATCCACTTTTTGAGGTCCAAAGTATGTTTTTGACTACAGTCAACTTTAGTTTCCTTAAAATGAAGAACGCCATCATTACAGGTAGTCGCTGGGTTAAGAATGCCCAGGTTACAGACAACCCATTGTTAAGAGCAGAGCCTGTTGTAGCAGAATTTGAGTTAAATACACAATGGTTCAAATTCATTACACAATACTACTTATACAGTATTATACAATAATAATGTTCCGGCTTACATGCAGATTCAATTTAAGGACAGATCTTGGGAACGGAACTTGTTCTTTAACTGGGGACTACCTGTATATGATAATTCTCCCCCAGTGTTCTTGCTACTTCCACTTCCTTAATTGAGTCTTAATATTTTTGGTTAGAATCATGCTGAGGGTACTTGTATCTTCCTTCACACACTGAAGGAGTAATCTCACACAAGTCAAGAATTTGACTAGAACTATCCTTGGCAGAGTTTGTGTCCCAGTGGGTGATTTGGGTGATTAAGTCCCTCTCCCTCCCTTTTTAATATATCTGCAACTTGGTTTTGAAAACATTTTCCCCATCTTTTTCTTCTGGAGGCGGCAGTAATTGATACCAACAATAGTACTGTTTTTATTTGTTGCTCCACTTATTTTAAAACAGATGTTCTCTATACCACTGCTAGATTTGTTCACTTGAATTTCTGAGCAGATGTGGACTATTCTCCAGTCATGTATTTAATATTTTTTCCCTTTCTGTTTCCAAAGATGCTTAAGACAAATGGTACAGAAGTAAATTAGAAACAACACAATAAAATACTTAGACTTAAAATGCAAAATAAAATCATATTGAAAACATTTCAAAATGCAAAATAAAAAACATGTTTCTTAGCACCTTACTTTTCTATTTTAGAATGTAGGATCAAGTCACATTCCTGAAAAATTTGTTGAACAGTTAGTACAATCCAGGAGACAGTTCTCTCCTTCATGCCCAGCTGACAGCCCTCAATAAGGAGCGGTGTTTTCAGAAGGATCTTCTTGTAGATCTCAGTTCCCAAACAGGTTCATAACATGAGAGGCAGTCAGGCCCTTAGCTATGAATGGCGTTACATTTTTACCCCAATACCTTAAATTGAGTCTGGAAAGCAGTTAGCAAACATTTGTAGATATTTCAAGACAGGCATGATAAATAGTCACTGCTGACACACTGAATGTAACTGCAAAATATATCCCTTATATCTCTGCTGCTTCCTAAAAGATCCAGGAACAGCACATGATCAAAGAACATGTGCAGATTGCAAGACCTGCCTTTTTTTTTTAGAAGGGCATAATTACTTACAGAACAGATTGAACCTTAATTTCCAAGTTTGGTTTCTTACTGAGCAGTAGCATCTTTTCTGGATTTAATTTCAGCTCATTCCTTATACAGTCTGTACTGAACACGGACTATGCTCAAGGGTATCAACTGTTTCCTTGGAATTACTGCTGGAATCTGGATGATTTCATTGATTAATTTACTCATTTGGATAGATTTTAGCAACTATGCTGTTACAAGGGAGAGCAGAATAGCTGGTATATGGTGTATTCTTATACTGCAGTGGTGGACATCATTTGAAGAGCTGAACTCAGCCTCATTACCTTCTAAGTGGCTGCAGGAGTCTCTCTGGTAGTGCTGTTGACATTACCTTAAAAAACCATGGCCAAACATTTTCAGCATGTTCTTTGGCCTTTGGTGGAGATTTTAAAGGTGGGGATGAGAGCGGAAGTCTTCCTAAAAGCAGATTACTCCCATTCCCTTCCTGAAAACCTCACAAATAAGCTAAAACCATACATGTTTTGAAATTTGGTCCTTTTACCTCTGAATTTTAGTAGTGTGATGTGAGTGTTTGAGGGCCACTTGCAGGCTACGAGTTTGCCCACCCCACTTTAACTATCATCTGTGACTGGATAAGAGTTAACTTACTGAAGCTTAATGAACAAAGACAGAGGTGCTCCTGGTTTAAGGCTGAATCCAGAAAAACAAAGAGACTAAGATAAATTTAATCAGCATTTCCTGCCTTGATAGTCTATTAAATTCATCCTTAAGCCAGGACTATTTTTGTACAGTTATGGATAGCATGTCAGTTGTGTCCATTCCTGAACAGAAATGTGGATACTTTAGCTATATCAAATAGTTTGAACTAGTGTAACATACAAGGGCCCTGCTGAACTATATGGGGAAATTTCACCTTGTTTAAAATGCTTCAGTTAGGCTACTTTCTGCCCACCTTTTTCTTTCTTTCCCTCTGCTTCCCTTCACCTTTGCATTCTTCTAGTTGTGTCCTTACGCTGTGTGGTACCCTTAGTAGCATCTTCAGGCATTCTGCTATCCTTCCCTACTCTTTCTAGCTACTCTACCTGCTGACTGGCCAGTTCAAACCTCTTTTGCGTTTTTTCTGCTCATTGCTTTGTTCACTAAGCATGCTGTGCACCTTGTGTACCTGCTATCTTTTTATTTCTTCAAAACGTAGAGGCCAGACATTTTATGGGGAAATGGAAGTGGTGGCAACTGGAGGTTAACAATGTCTATCTTAAAGGACTGAGTTCCTTGGTGAGCGTCCACTGCTCCCAATACTAAACAGTTTGGAATAAGGTCAAATAAGATATTATAATGTCAAAGGTTAATATTTTCCAATATTTACACAAGCAAGCTTAAGAGGATGACAGTGGAGATCTAACTTGAAAAGGCCATGTGACCATGATGAGAATAACCTTTAACATGAATCTGCCTGAGTTTTAAGAGCATGAGAGACATTTTTCTCCTTCCCAACAATGTCTGAAGTATGCCTCTAAGGAATCTGAGAAGGATTTTTCAGTGAACTTGCTTCCTTTAAGCAGGACATTTACAATCCTTCCTGGGTTTTTCTGTTGAACACATGTAATGCGTGCTGCTGCTGCTGTTATTTTTAACCAGTGGTTACATCAGTTTTTAACCAGTTTTTACCAATTTCTTGTATGTACTTTTAATATTTTATAGGATTTTGTAATATTTTATTTTATTATCTATTTTATATTTGGCCTCACTGAGTGGAAAGGCAAGAATAGATATAAATAATAGCAACCGCAGGTTATTTATAAAAATTACACACACCTGCAGTACGCAGAGATGAAGTTAAAAGAACTCCATTTTCATCCTCTTAAATTTGCTTGTTTATAACAGTGGGAAAACAGTAGCCTTTAACATGGTATTATCTTATTTGATAGACAAGGCATATTCCATTTTTCATCTAAAGTACTTTCTATTCCTGCCTCATCTGCCGTTTTTTGGAGGCTTTCTAGAAGGTGAGTTAGCCATAGATTTAGCCTCCATGTCTGGGTATTTTGTAACTAACTGTAGGCAAACCCTACTGTTGTCATACATAGACCATGATGATGTGATACTACTAATAACTAGACTTATTTGTGGTGGTTGCTAACAGAATTAGGAAAATCCTGCTAGATTTAGAAGCAGCAGATTGAAATAAAGATGAAAATATTTGGCACAAGCTCAGATGGATTATTGGTAGTTACAATGAGGTACAATGAAAGCTAACCAGTAACATTACAGTGAAGAAAACTTTTATGATTAGGAAAGTGCCTTGCAGATCGGGGCCCAGGAATGAAACCTCTAGATCCCTATGTGCTTCCCACCAAAAAGGATTGCTGAATTTCAGCTGGATACCTTCTGTCTCAGTGTTTGCGGTACATAGCAAAAAGCTTTTTGTTGCTTTCTCTCATAGAAGTAGAAATTGGGGAAGTGTTTTCCTCCTACAGCCACCTGTTCTATCCTTCCCATGTGCCGCTTTTTTTAAAAAAGTATTTTTCTTCCTCCTCTCTCACTGTGGAAGGCAGAGAATTGGGAAGGAAGACCATTGAGAAGAAGGATGAGGACTAGTTTTCCATTCTCCTTACAAACTACTCCAGTTGCAGATTCCTAGTTTTGGGGCAGGTGCTTGCATGAAAGAAAATAAAAATAAGGTTTATTTAGGAAATAGTGATAAAAAGGCTGAGTCACTCATGTCTGTTTACAGTTTAGTCTGTAGTGTACTTTTCTGTATTGTGGAGAAAGAGCGGGTCAGGTGAGAACAGGCCAGAGATGGAGAAGAAAGAAAACTGAACTGAGAGAGAAAAGAAGGGAAGAAAGTCTGGAGAATTTCAGTCTACCCATGTTACCTAGAGACATGCAAAGTAAGTCTTTTAGACAAGGGGAGGAAATAAAGGACAGAGTCCCTCTGCTAACCACCTCTGCATCTGTTGCCCTAGTATCAGTTGGTTTATAGATGCAGAAAGCCAGTTGATGAAAAGTTGAAATCCAAAAAGTGATATGTGCATATGTATGTGTGTACATGAGAGAGAGAAAGATGTATAATGAGTATACGTTTAAAACCTTTAACATGAATCTATTTATGCACTTTATACTAAATTGTATCTTTTATAATTAAAATCAGTTAAAATAAAAGATGGAGGGGAGAGAAACTGTATTAAACTACATTTAATTAATAATTGCCTTAATTTTTACATCTCCCTGCTCCCTTTTGGGGAAAATAGCACATGTTTCAAAATGTGATTCAGACCATATCTTAAAAAATGGCTTTGCATTTATGATATAGACCATACTATATCTATCTGCCCAAATGTTAAATTGCTTCATATTTAAAGGGTAACAGCATTATTTTAATATATTTGTATTTTGTACCTTCTCAAACAGAACCAAATCCTCCTATAGATGAAGTTATCAGCACACCAGGAGTTGTTGCCAGGTTTGTGGAGTTCCTCAAACGGAAAGAAAACTGCACATTACAGGTGTGTTGTGTGTGTGTGTGTTCTTCAGTTTATAAAATGTATATTTGTACATAATTTAAAAAAAACTCACTGAAGTCAAAGTACTGTATGATAACTCAGAAGCTTTGACCATGGAGAACTTAGCAGGATCACTTTAAATTTTTATTTTTACAAAGGACATTTTCTCAGTTTACTTACACTCAGTTAAGATTGGGAAGAGAGGCTTGCTGTGAGTGCTACTTTTTATTCCTTATTTCTTGGCTGACAAGTTGTTTACCCCCAAAATGAATGCATAAATAACTAAATAGATAGGTAAACTCATCTTAAACAGTAAATTTTAATGACACGTCTCTTGATGTGATGTCACAGCATCATTCCTTGTACTAGGGGGATGCTTGTATGCCAAGTCCCTTGAGCTTAAATTAAGATGGAAGACAGAATTCATCAAGGCATTTTCTCACTATTCAATTCCTCTAATGCTCCCAAGGATATTAAAAACTAATTTATCTTTCTTATACTACTCTTAGGACTCCATATATAAATTTGAAAATAAAATAAATAAATAGATATTTTAGACTCATACTATTTCTTAACCTGTTACCTCAGTGTATTTACTGGGGAATTGATCTAATAGATCTCAGTAACGCTACTGCGTAAACATACCTACCAGAAGGCTACAAAAGTGGGAAGTGTGAATTTGTCACAGCTCACATTGCATTGTTTGGTAGAGTTCTTTACACAAATCTGTACAAAGCTCGAACTGATACAAGTTTCAGGCAGTTTGGTCCATGAGCCTTGTAATGCCGTTCAGGTGGCAGACTAAGGGCTGCTTTTCCCCTTCTCTGAGGCTTTCCCTATTATTAACACTCTCTGTCTTTCTCTCTAAAGGGATGCAAGCCCAGACTCAAATATTTTTAGTGTCTATAATTGGGGCTATGAAAATAAAGGCAGGCAGTTCTGGAAATTTTAATGGCATTTCCCCCCTTTCTAATTACTTATTTATGCTTATTTAAAATTACGTATTTATGTTTATTTAAAATGGTGGGCTTTAAGTGGTTGAATCTTTTTCTTTCTCTTCCTTTTCTTTGTTTTCCCCATATTACCACTTTGTGCATGTGTCTTAAACTACAGTTTGTGCTGCGGGTTGATTATAAAAAACATAAGGTGAGTTTAATGATACTGAAGGAAGATGATACAAATTATGCATGCCATTCTTGCGATGCTTCGGAAGACCTCAGAAGGGAAATTTTAATGGCATTTCCCCCCTTTCTAATTACTTATTTATGCTTATTTAAAATTACGTATTTATGTTTATTTAAAATGGTGGGCTTTAAGTGGTTGAATCTTTTTCTTTCTCTTCCTTTTCTTTGTTTTCCCCATATTACCACTTTGTGCATGTGTCTTAAACTACAGTTTGTGCTGTGGGTTGATTATAAAAAACATAAGGTGAGTTTAATGATACTGAAGGTAGATGATACAAATTGTGCATGCCATTCTTGCGATGCTTCGGAAGACCTCAGAAGCTTTCCAAAGCATTATGAGAATGACGTGAGCAGCCTTGGGAAGAAGGCCTGGCGCAGCCAGCAGCTGCCTCACATAGGGCCAGATTGGGCACGCCTCATCAGCAGCAGGAGGAAGAGAGCAAAGGTCAGCTGGGCTGGCAGGCCTGCAGAGTGCAGGGTGGCAGGGGCAGCTGGGGCTTGGTTGGCTGCGGTGTGGGTCTTGAAGCAGACTTCTCACTGGTGGCAGCAGCCCTGGGACTGAAGTAGAGCCCTGGGGGGTTGGGGTGGCCAGCAGAGACTGGTGAAGACCCTGGGCCTCTATTTCAGCCCAGTGCTGTTGCCACCACCAAGGAATGCTGCTGTGTAGGGTGGCCAAAGGGGCAGAGATGGGGGGAGGTAAGCGGGTGGGAGGAGTTGAAGCAACTCTGCAGTCATAAATGTGGGCAGGCTGCCAGGTGCCCGAATTTTAATCACATGACCGTGGGGGCACTGCCATGGCTATAACTTTGGGGACCAGGTGTAACTACCATTCATTCAGTGCCACTATAACTTCAAATTAATTAAGTGAGGTCAAATTAATTGAGGTCACTAAGTGAGGACTACCTGTAATGTGATTACTAGATATGCATCCTTGTGTTTCTTGTTAGTAGAAACTAATGGAGTTTAAGTATCAGCTGCTGAAACTTTCTTTATCTCCTGATCCAGTTTGAAGCCGCCTGGGTTCTGACTAACATTGCCTCTGGAAATTCCCTTCAAACTCGGATTGTGATCCAAGCAGGAGCTGTTCCTATTTTCATAGAACTACTCAGCTCAGAATTTGAAGATGTACAGGAACAGGTTAGATTCTCAAAAAATAAAATGGGGGAAGGAGAAATGAAATAGTATTATATAGCATATCATTTTAAGTTAATTTTATTCATGTAGAATGGCCTTATTTAAATCAAGAAATTATAATTTATAGATAATTACAGCATTTGGATGATATAAAAAATAATTCCAAAAATCACAATGCAAACAAGGCAGCTTCTCTTTTTTAATCCTTCTGTGATCCCATGAGGTTTTTTTTCCCCCCAATGTAGATTTATTCTTGTTTGGTAATCATAAGTTTAAAATGAGTTGTTGATATTCTGATTCTGTTTCACTTATATAACAAAATAACACTGTTTGGAAACTGATGATAGCTAATAACCTGACATCTGCTATGCTGCAGTAAGTATTTCACTCTGAAATTGCCTTATGTCGGAACAAGAACAGAAGTGTGGGAGGATCAGTTTACCAAATTCTTTCTCCATGTTCTCAGCCCTCAAAGTCTACTCCTTCTACTTATTAGTTTTTCTCTTTCTGCTCCAGAATCTCACCTCCCCTCACTCCTTGCCTGTGTATGCATAAACCAATCTCTCCAGTTCACACACCTCATGCTTCCTTCCTCCCCGGATGCCTTATCTGTCTTGTTACTTTCTGCACACACACACACACACACACACACACACACACACCACCACAAAGCTCAATCTTTCCACTTTTCCCTCTTCTGTAACAGGTTGTCTTCAACCTTTTCCAGCCTATTTCTATTTTCATGCTTTCCTCTACCACTACATTTGGTCACCCTGTCTTTCAGATCACTCCTAGTTACCTTGTTGCCCTCCCCAAGCCTCTTCCTTACCAAGTGGATAGAATTCATCCTTTCCTTTTTCATTTTATGGGACTGAAAGCTGTTCAGCCGTCTATCCTCCTTACTACCCAATCTTGTTGAAAGACATAAGTACTGCACTTTGAAACTCCTCTGCATATCCAGAAAAGTAAATTTAAAAAATAAAATAAATCACTCATATTATCATAGTGTTTCATGGGTGCAAAGGGATGTATACATTGGCACAGTAGTGTCTGCATGTACAGATCTCTGAAGAGCAGGTTTGAGAGTAAACATTAGAAGACTTAGAGTTCTGCTTCAAGAAACTCTTCTTGACTCCTGTTCCTCTAAACCAAGGTAGGCAACATTTTTGACATGGAGAATGGTTTCTGTGTGTCATACAATTCAAATGGACATATGCAAGTTCACACTTCCATACACAGACCGTCTTGCCTCCAGCCCATTCATCATTTCCAATTGAAATAGGTGGAAGGGGAAGTTAAAGCCTGCCCCTTTTCACTTGCTATCTCCCTTTTCCCTCAACTTCCTAATGTTGCAACTGCTTTTGGGTTTTCTGAAAGGTCTTATTCCTGCAAGGCCTGGTGATCGTAAAATATTCTCAGTGTAGAAGCTGGAATGTCTAATGCTTATAGCATTTTGCAACAGGAACTTGGTTTGCTTCTGCAAAGAATCAGAATCTTAATTGCAGTCAGTGACCAGTCTATAAAACATTTGGATACGTAAAATTGATATTAATTAACTAGTTAAGCTACAGATTTGTTGGTCAAACTGCTGTGCATCTTACATATTACATGACAGAATTTGGCCATATTTAAGGAAGTAGAATCAATGGAAACTGGGGTAAGAGGTTTAAACAGAACTGATCAGATTGTCCAGGATATTTAATTAGGTGTGGAATTAGCAGTTCACAGCAAGTGTTGGCATAAAATGGACAGTACACTAAGGCATGTTTGGAGGTTTCTATGGCTCATTCACCACACAGGCAGAGTCTAGATTTAAATGGAATCCCTTTATAACTCTCCTCTACATTTGCTGATGGAAGTGAGTTGAACCATGTTAAGGTTAGGCTTCCTTAGTTTAGAAACTGTGATTTGGTTTAAATATTTAACAGGTGTGTAAGGAATGTGAGGGCTGCTTAAAAATATGTCTTTGGGGAGAGACATCAAATCCGTTTGAATATTGATGTCCTTAGGATGCTGCTTAATTGCCTCTACTGTATGTTTTTGCCCCAGCATGTGCACTTGGGTTAAGAAAAAACCCAAAGGTTCCAGTATTTTATATATTGCCATAGCCCAGGAGGAGACAAAATTGTCAGAAAGATCCTGAGGAGTTAGACCTGCTGGGGAAAAGAGCAGTTTAGTCCAATATGTAAAAATATGTATCCAGGCACTAGATTCAGTCTTACTAATGCCAGCCTCAAGACATTGAATTTGAATCAAATCAGTCAATTTGAATTGAATTAAGAATTGCACTTGAGACGCAACACAGAACTTGGCCTAAGATCCTGAGAAATGTTGCTGGCCTGCCCACTTTGTCTTGGGAGACTCCTGAGGGCATTTTATTTGTCTAGCTGCCAGCAAGGGAGAAAAGCTGTTCTCCTTAAAGACTCCAAGTAGGTATAATATGAAACCTCCTTAAATAGTCCTTCATTGTCAGCATCATTAGTAGAATAATTGTATATTTGAAAGTAAGAACCACTCTTGTGTACCTGGCATGAACCTGATGAACTCTTGTGTACCTGGCAGGTTCAGTCCTGATAAGATCACTGTGAGAAACTTGACAATGCATCAACTGTGTGAGTGAGTGAATAATAGCCCTTCTAGAATGCCATCTGCCATAATTGGTATTACTGTCCTCAGCAGCATTATCCTGTCTCCCTGAAGAATTTGTCCATTGCCATCTTTAGGTTTGGGTGGGAGGGTTGGGTCTGGGGGTTTATAATAAGAATTCCTCCAAAAGGTTACACTGCCCCCCTCCCCGTGATGGTCTGTGGGACCTTCTCCCCATTGGTGTTAATATTAAACAGTTTGTCATCAGGGAATCTGCCTGATGACTTAAACATAAATTGTTCTATCAAGGATTTTAAACTGTCAATTTTGTTATTAGCTATTAGAAGCTGATCATAAATAGATATTACAATTTGTGCGGACAAGGAGGCAGTTTTTGGCACCAGTTCCATATCTGATGTTTGTGATCAGAATTCATTTTCTGGCTCTAGCTGGGACAGAGTTCTCAGCTCCTCACTCTCTCTTTCCAGCAGCGTATTGTTGTTTGAAGGGCAAACAGATGGTTCGCCTGGTGGGTTGTTGCATCGTAGAAGCCTCTTGATTGTTGGCTGGCCAGAAGGTTGACTGTTCTTGGATGTCTCATGGCTTGTACCCCAATACTTCTGTGTTTCGGTTTTGCTTGAGAATATAGATTTAGTTTTCATTGCTGTTACTGGCACTTCCCGGCTGGTTTTGTTGTTTACTTAGCAGCAGCAAGCAGCTGTCACTTCTGATCTCCTTAATAGCACGCACACAATTAGATAACAGTGCCAGCAAAATTGATTAAAGTAGAGCTCAATACCAATACATGAAGATAAAGGGAGAAAAAGAGGATTATGATTATATATAAATATTAAAAATATAGTAGGGGGATGTAAGAATAAAAGGTAAAGGATTAACAGTTGGGGAGTTTTAAGTTCAGAGCTACTCACCCAGTAGCCGTTCAGCCTTTTCTGTTCAAAAGCCAGAAATGATTTTCCCCAAAATAGAAAATTGTCTTTATATTGTTATTTTATCTTATTAGATTGCTATGTTGTGTCTTGTTTTACAGTGACTTTACGATTTATTGTTGTTTTAATTATATTATTTTACTACTAGCTGGTCTGGAACTATAGTCTTTAAATCTTCTTAGATACCTAATATAATATTACAAAAGCTTTCATTCTGGAATACAGGACACTGGAGATTAAACATATTTAATTCTGACCTTTTTCTTCTTTCTCAGGCTGTTTGGGCTCTTGGTAATATTGCAGGTGATAGTACCATGTGTAGAGACTATGTACTTGACTGCAACATCTTGCCCCCTCTATTACAGTAAGTGATACAAATGGTACTCAGATTTATTAGCAAGGGTGATATAATCTTTGTGAAAAGTCACTATTTACCAGCAAAGTGCAACAGAATAATGAATTCCAGCTTATGAACTGACAGACCTTCCTACAACCTGAAAGCAAATAATCTGGATCTGGTCTGTGCTTGGATGGAATACCATATGGAAATCTGACTTATACCACCTTCACTTCCTTGATGGAAGAAAGGTGAAATAAAACTGTACTAAAGATAAAACAAGGAAGTGTTTCATAATTTGGCATTTCTCATTAACAGTAATAAGCCACTTAGAGTTGGTTCATAAGTAGAGCCTCTCATAAGCCTGAGTAATAAATAACTAGATGGTATTGCAAAACTCTTATTTCTATTTTCAGATTGCTTTCCAAACAGAATCGTCTTACCATGACTCGGAATGCTGTATGGGCACTATCTAATCTTTGCAGAGGGAAGAATCCTCCTCCAGATTTTGTTAAGGTACAAAATAAAACTCAAGAGGAGTTAATAAAAAAAGAAGAAGCCCTGTTTCCTAGGTTATGAGATTTGCATCACCCTTTTAGTGAACAGGCTGCTTAAACATTTATAGGAGTCTGAGAATAATAAACTATTTGCAGAAAAAGGTTGTTCGCAATAGGTTTATTTTCTCAGAATGCTTTGAAGGCGAATCATTCTCAGCTCTACCAATTATTCCAGTTTTTCTGTAAGCTATAAGTAGTTTTGCTGGAATATTTTTTTCTGAATAGCATCAGCTCCTGCACAGAGAAGAGGTGGCTAATTTCTCATTTTTAATAATAGAAGGGGACAAAGCACCTTAAGTACAATAATTGAGAAACAAAAGGAAGAAAGTTTTTTTACAAACTTATTCAAAACCATTGATTTTTTCAGAGTGAAAAACAAGAGATCTACATGGAAGAGGAAGACAGGGCTCCAAACTCTGTAGAAGTATATCATAGGAGGTAAAACATAGCTCCTATGGTTAAGTAAAAAAATTCCTAAAGAAGAAGTAAGCCGAACTTGCCAACAACACCTAATTTATTTTTGGTTTATTGCACAGGGGGCCAGTTTTGTGACTCTCTGCCTTTTGGGCATAAGTCATAGGTTTGTGGTTGGTGCAGTGAGCTCCTGTGCTCAAGGAACAAGTCCATTCTCTTGCATCCCAGATAGCTGAGCTAGAGAGTCTTAGAGAGGTGGAGAGATATGGACGGTAGATAATTTGGGATATATTTATTTCAGTCCCCAAGAAAATAGCTCTCTTACTATCAAGGAGAATCAGGATCTTGGGGAAGGACATAATTTCAAAGACAGATGTTCCCATAGGAGAGTCCTAATCCTTGGATGATGAATGCACATTCTTTCATATCAAGGATACTCCTCCATGGAGTGGAAGGCTTTTGGTTGTAGATGATTTGATGATGAGATGGTTTTGTGATGGGCATACATCATATGATAACTTGCCTAGCTGGTGAAAATATTACAGATAAGCTACTGTATAGCGCTGCGGGGGAGGGGAAAACCATTGTGGGAATACTGTAAAGGTAATATATCTTGATTTCATCAGCAAAACATTTGAGAGTGTCAAGAGGAACATGGCTGAAGGTGACCCCATCAATTGCATACTTGGACTTTCAAAAACTATTTGACAGAATTCCTCATCAAAGGTTTTTGAGTAAATGTAATGGTCATGGGATAAGAGGAACTGTCTTTTTATGAATAACTAACTAGCTAAAAAACAAAGAATAGGAGTAAATGACAGGAATTAATATCTTAGAACCAGTATTTTTTTTAACTTATTTATAAGTGAGCTTTACTAAGTGGTAAACAATGTTGGCCAAGTTTGCAGAGGTATTCCGGTTGATAAAAACTCCAAGTGACTCTGAAGAACTCTTTAGGACAGGTGAATGGTGCAGTTCAATTTAAGTGTAAAGTAATGCACACTGGCATTACTGGCAAAAAACTGACTTCATATATAAACCAATGGGGTCTGAGACTGAAGTCATGAACCAGAAAAAAAATTCTTGTAGTGGAATGAAGCTCAGTGAAGAAGTGCACAGCACCTATGAAAAAGATCAGTTTCCACACTGGGGATCATTAAGAAACGGATTGAAACTTCTCATTAAGAAAGGGATTGAAATATTGTAAGCCCCTGTACAAATATGTTCTACATCTCCCTCTGAACTATTGTGTATAGTTCTGATCTGAAGAGGTAAAAGAAATTTTTATTGATTCCCCCTTCCTCTTAGGAACTGTGCCCAAGATAATTGGAAGGGAAAGAGGATAAATCTGTATGATTTGTATGTTGAAACAAGGTGCAAAGAGTGTCGGAAGTATGAAGTGTTTATACAGATTGCAAAGAATGTAGGGTTTATTTGTGTGAGGAGGACTTAGGGCATGTTTGGTGAGACTACTTTGGTCTTATACATATGGGTGGAACAAATAAGAGATACAGTGGTACCTCTAGTTACGAACTTAATCCGTTCCGTGACTCTGGTTGCAACTCGA